TATAAAAAGTAGGATGTTTGTGTGTGTGTGTGTGTAACGAATGCACAGCCGCAATTTTCGAAGGATTTGCACCAAAATTCACATGCACATGCTCCAAGTTAGAGGGAAAGCCAAGACCGACGATAGTGGAAATAATCGATTTTTTCATGCTTCTACGGCAGTTTTCATGTAGTTTGTGGCCATTTTCTTCTGGCCAGCGTGAGAGCCAACAGCTGACTGACACGAATGTTAACTAGCATGCTAGATTGCAAAAAAAATCGATAGCTGCATTCGTCAGAAGTGGGAAAAATTTAAATCTGCATGGCACTTTACTCTAATTCGCCTGCTTAAACTCAACGTTGATTCTGATTTCGCAGAATTAGGTTGGGTGTGAAAAAGTATTTGTTGTTAACATTCTTTTTTCATTCGGTTTTTCCAGTTACGAGTCCTTTTTTAAAGATGATCGTTTTGTGTTTATTTTATTTAGTTCTTTTTTCGTAACAGATTTAATGTTTAGTATAGAGCTTCGAAAAAATTCGCAGTGTGAGATAGGCAAGAAGTAAGGCATGTAGCAACATCAGCACGGCAAAGGGCACTCACTTAAAGGCAAGGAAGGGCAAACATATTTTAAGTCAAGTGATAGCGATTGCTGTATGAGTCGTACGATTTTTGAATCAAGCACAGGCAACGCCGGGCCATGCTGCTAGTCAAGGATATAATCCAAAAATAATTTTAAAAACTTTGGGGCGTTTTCTGATTTCAACATAAGGTAAAATGTCCATATAAACATATGCCCAAAAGGCCATCATTGTACCTCAAAAGAGCAACTCATAACAAATGTTCAAAATTACCTCAGATTACTTCTACACACATATGCACCCGTCGGATCATTGACTGATGGACCCTTTCAAATACTCCGACACGGTGTCGAATTGTTTCGCAGGTCCCCATGGCACGTTGATGAAGCGTCTCTGTATTATTAATGTCTGCTACATAAACCAATTGTTTTAGGTGGTCACACAGATAAATTTCCAAAATTCTAGGGAACGTGCAGGTCATGAAATCGGTCCTCCCTTACCTATCCAGCTTTCATGGTAGCTATCAGCCAAGGCATCACGAACAATGTGACTAAAATGTGCCGGAAACCCATCATGCATGAACTACATCCTCTAGAAGGCCTGGAAGTGAGTTCGAATTAAACAGTTCTTGTAAGATGGAAGAACATATGCACCTACCAGACAGTCATCTACAATTCCAGCCCACACATTAATCGTAAACTGATGTTGGTGCTTAGCCTGTATTACAAGGGGGTTCCGATCCGTTTACAAATGTTGGTTGTGTAAAGTTGTTATTTCATCACTTCTAAATGTTGCTTCATCCGTAAACAAGATTGAAGTGATGAGTAATCAGAGGTCGAAAGACCCTGCACGCGTTGCAAATGATAGGGATGCAGGAGCTGCTCTTGAAGTACCCTCGATGCAGTACTATGAGATGTACGAGATGCTAGGGCCACTCGACGTCTGCTGATACCTAGATCGTCTCGGACAACCCGTAGAATATCTAGATCGTTTCGGACAGCTCGTAGAATACTTGGATCGTCTCGGACAGCTTGGAGAATACCTGGATTGTCTCGGACAACCCGTAGAATACCCAGATTGTCTCGGACAACCCGTAGAATACCTAGATCGATTCGGACAGCTCTTAGAATACTTGGATCGTCTCGGACAGCTTGGAGAATAACTGGATTGTCTCGGACAACCCGTAGAATACATAGATCGTTTCGGTCAGCTCGTAGAATACTTGGATCGTCTCGGGCAGCTTGGAGAATACCTGGATTGTCTCGGACAACCCGTAGAATACCCGGATTGTCTCGGACAACCCGTAGAATACCTAGATCGTTTCGGACAGCTCGTAGAATACTTGATCGTCTCGCACAGCTTGAGAATACCTGGATTTTCTCGGACAACCCGTAGAATACCTAGATCGTTTCGGGTCAGCTCGTTGAATACTTGGGTCGTCTCGGGCAGCTTGAGAATACCTGGATTGTCTCGACAACCGTAGAATACCCGGATTGTCTCGGACAACCCGTAGAATACCTAGATCGTTTCGGTCAGCCTGTAGAATACTTGAATCGTCTCGCACAGCTTGGAGAATACCTGGATTGTCTCGGACAACCCGTAGAATACCCGGATTGTCTCGGACAACCCGTAGAATACCTAGATCGTTTCGGACAGCTCGTAGAATACTTGGATCGTCTCGCACAGCTTGGAGAATACCTGGATTTTCTCGGACAACCCGTAGAATACCTAGATCGTTTCGGTCAGCTCGTAGAATACTTGGATCGTCTCGCACAGCTTGGAGAATACCTGGATTGTCTCGGACAACCCGTAGAATACCCGGATTGTCTCGGACAACCCGTAGAATACCTAGATCGTTTCGGACAGCTCGTAGAATACTTGGATCGTCTCGGACAGCTTGGAGAATACCTGGATTGTCTCGGACAACCCGTAGAATACCCGGATTGTCTCGGACAGCCCGTAGAATGTGTTGTTCGTGGCCAGGCGTACGCGCGGATCTTGGTCTTCCTCGATCCATAGATTGTGGTGCCACATCCTGTGTCAGCAATGCAACGATAAACAGCAGCACAGGTTGGATGACTCTGCGGCCTTCGGTCTGGAAACGCAATCTGATAGAGACGTACAGTCTCGCGTTCATTATCATTTGCGCGGCCGTATATGAAAATCACATCTTTCTGATCACGCTATGAATATCGTTCCATTGTTAAACAGAACACTTCTCAGGTAACTCACTACTACACACGTTAAACGTTGACGAAAAGCCACAAATGTACACGAATGACAAATGTAACCTAAGCTACATGGCAACACAGCGCCATCTGTCGTAAACTTTCTTAAAATTTATTTTTTATAAATTCTTTTCTTTACATTTCGGATACGAAAGTGAGCAGATATGCGTTTCGAGAACAAACTGTGTTTTAATGGCAAATAGAACCTTGCCTGATGCTGTATCTCTTCGTAGCCGAGCGGTCAAAGCACGTCGGAAGAGACGGTGGTTCCTCCTGAAAAGGGAAATGCAGGTTCGAACCTTATCGGAGGACATTGTCTTCATTAAGTTTTATTAAATGTACAGGACGACAGACGAAATAAACACAGTTTAAATTAAAGGGAGAGGTTCTACACAGACACAGGTATTCATGAAAAATAACGTTTGGAGTAATATATATATATATATATATATATATATATATATATATATATATATATATATATATATATATATATATATGTGTAGTAACTAAGGGGAAAAGTCACACGAGCTAGTTGTAGTAATAATAATAAAATCACAGAGTGTTTGACTTCTGTCAAGGTTTACAATGGGAGTAACAGGAAGACTTAAGTTTCGAGTGTTGACATTTAATCTTTTCTTCTTCAACCATTGTCATGAGAATTCAGGATTTTCACCAGGACAGTTTCCCTATTTAAGGAAAGTACACCCCATCAAAAATACATACATACAAAACACACTCACACAGGCGCGCACACACAGATATATATATATATATATATATATATGTGCGTGTGTGTGTGTGCGTGTGTGTGTGTGTGTGTGTATGTGTATGTGTAAAACTGTTTCAGCTGGAATTTGAACTATATTCTTCGCTTCTGACTTTTCATGCTCATAAAGAATATCATCAACCCACACCTGGATTTGCATTACGCAAATAAATAGATAGATAGGTTATATATATATATATATATATATATATATATATATATATATATATATATTATATATATATATATATATATATACAGTTCAAAAGATTTGAGGCCACCCCTGATAATTTTTTAAATTGACTCAAAAAGTCGTTTTCTATTTATATTTTATTATATATGTTTAATTCTTTTTATTATGACAAAAAGAAAAAGCATTTTATGATAAAATTTTGCTCTTTTCAAAATATCCTCCATTAGCCTTGTTTAATGCAGCACACATTTTTGGCATTCGTTGCAAATGTTTCCCAAAGTATAATTTTGATCACTAATTCCATTCTTTTTTCAATGACTCTAAGAGCTTTTTCCTTTTTTCTCACTCTTCTGTCAAGTTCATCCCATGCTAATTCTGGGGGTGGCTTCAAACTTTTCAACTGTGGTATATCTATCTATCTATCTATCTATCTATCTATCTATTATTGAGGTGAATGTGCGTTCTGTAAAAAGGGAAAATGAACCATACTTGTTGTGATATTCCTCTAGTATGAGTGGTAAAGCAGTGGTTTCACTTATAAAAGAACGTATTTCCTTTATTAAGATTTTTTGAATGAGCAAGGGGCGTCTATTTCAAATACGAAGTATCTGCTATTATCACGTTTGAAATAATAACAATGTTGGATTAAATCCATTAATTCTATATATATATATATATATATATATATATATATATATATATATATATATATATATACAGGAACAGTCTTGTTTATATATAGAGATATGTAAAAATTTCTCAGAATTAATCTGTAGAAAAAACTATATGTATTAAGGAAAAAGAGAATAGGAAAACTGTGGTTTTAGTCGACGCGTTTGGTCCAACTGAAATATTCCACAATAGAGGAAACGCGTCGGATAAAAATACACTTTTCCTTAATATATATAGAGATATATACATAGATATGAACAAATTGATATATATATATATGATGAAACTTAGTTTTTAAGGTGTGCTATATGTGCGGTATAAAGTGCTCAATATCAGAGATAGAGCGTATAGAAATATAAAAGTGAACATTGAAGTCAACACTCAGAGGCGACAGTCTGTTTTCCTGCTAGACGCAATCGTCAGGCATCATATTCAGCTCCTGATAACCAGTAGAGCACTTTCGCTACATTTATAACACATTATATATATATATATATATATATATATATATATATATATATATATATATATATGTGTGTGTGTGTGTGTGTGTGTGTGTGTATAGAGAGAGAGAATGAGACAGAGAATGAGAGAGAGGGAGAGACAGACAGACAGACAGACAGACAAACACAGTGACAAACATAGATAGATAGATAGATAGATAGATAGATAGATAGATGCATACATACATACATACTCACTAGATATAGCTGAATACGGAAGGAAATAATCTTGGAATGTTGTGTTACACCAATTTTTCAAAAAGGTGGGCCTCATGCCACACAGATGTAATCCTGTACCAAACTCAGCTGATCTTGGTAAAAACCTATATTCTAAGCATCAAACAGATTTTATTCGCTGTAAGGGTTAATGTATTATGGCCGTGTATTATATATATATATATATATATATATATATATATATATATATATATATATATATATAAAACAAACAGCCAGATGGATTTTTAGGAGAGTTTAATTGCATTGCCACTAGAACTTTTTTTTTTATTTAACTGTTTTCACTTGAGAGTAAAATGAACCTATAAAAATGAAACTATTGCGTTATTGAGGTCGTTTTCGCATCCTACCACAAAAAAAAACACCTAGCGCGCAGGAACGAACGAACACACACACACACACACACACATAATTTCTGTCTTTCAGAAACACCCACTTCACAAAAACACGTTGGTGCTAGAGTTTGTCCAAAAACGAGAATTTGAGTAAGGTTACGATAAAGAGAAATCAGATTCAGAGCCTACAACGTTTTGAAAAAGAGATCGTGCTGCCCCAACAATCCCCTGAAGAAAAAATAAAAATAAGGACAAACGAAACGCAATACTTATATATCATAAAAACAGTTTTACAAGCCTAAATTGCCAATATTTAGGTCGAATGAATCTCGGAATAACTGTGCGACGATGCATTGCTTCGCATGTAACGCACTGGTCGTCCTGTATTCAATAATTGGATCAGCGAGAAATAAATTTATAAGCAATGAATTACTATTACTAATAATATTCTTCTCTGTAGTGAACATGATTAAAATCATCAATTGGTCTATTAAACGGTAAGGCTTTTGTAGGAAACGAAAAATGTTTTCATTATCTTCATGCTTGCAAAATTAAAATAAATATAAGTTTAAGTTAACGTTTATCGCACGGAAAACAGAATCAGCAAACCGAGTTTCGACCAAGCCTTTTTATGTTCCCTTAAACACTGATGCCTTTGGAAAAGGTATGAATAACTTTGGAAAAGATATAAATCCCTTTACTCTGATTTATCCAGATAGCCGTGTTCCAATTCCAGTCGAGTTCATTATATTCACCAACGCTGAAATAATCTTGGGAAAGGTTTGAATCCCTCCTCTTCTCCCCCAGCTATAGGTTAATTAGTAAGCCTTGTATTAGTAAATTATTGTTATCGCTAAAAATTCTCACAATCTAAAAAAAAATCTGGCTTTAAATAACCTGCAAAATGTTGAATAGCCGTTGTTTTCAGTTTAGACCATAACACATTTAAATTATTTACACACGTTCTTGTCTTTATTATTGTGTACTTAAAAATTATATGAAAAAAGGAGCTCGCGTCATTTTCTTGTTTTACGGATAAAGTCTTCGTAGAATAGCAATCTGTCATCGCCTTGTCAATATTTTAAGCAATTCACCCCAAGCAAGGCGGGTGTGCCATTAGTACGCAAGGGGCTGCAGAGAATGTAAGTAAGGGAAAGACTCGGCATAGGAGTGGGGTGAGGAGAAGATGAAAAAAGAATGGGCGAGGATAAAACAAAGAACGGGGATTAAAGCAAGAGAAGATGTCGATTGACATTAGATTTAAATTTTTGAAGATTATAGTTATCAGGGAAGAAAGTAAGAGGAAGGGATTTTCACTGTCGGGAAGTGCGAGAGAAGAAGCTGTTGGAGTAGAAGAGGCGGTTACATTTAACTGTTTCAACAGTAAAAGGGTGGGGCCGTGATGCCAACCTTGTAGCAAACTTAAATTCATGCAGTCGGGCACCAGTGAAAATAGTTCGCCAGAGAAGACGCCATGAAACTATTTATAGAAAAGACGGAGGCAAGCCACATTACGTCGATGAGAAAGTGACTGGAGTCGAGATATCAGGTCAGGAATGATCACATTGCAGATTCGTCTTTGGATTTTGTCGAGAACCTCGAGATGAAAAGCAGGGATACCAGGCCATATATGGCAATAGTATTCCATGCATGGACGATTCGTAGATTTGTAGATGTGAAGGCTGGACTCAGACGAGGAAAACATTCTGGCACGATACATAGAACCAACTTTCCTTGCTCTAGATGCAGCAACTGATTTAATTTTCAAATCAGTGGAGAACGTGAGACCAAAAAGGTGCAGTGATGTGCTCTCGTGGAGTTGAGCATCAACAATGCTGATAAGAGGCAGGGACGTTTCTCTATGGTGAATAAATGACAGCAGTTTAATGGATGCATTAAAATTCACAAGCCATTTTCTGTCCAAGTCAACCACAGATTAGAGATCGTTTTCGAGACCATCGGCCACGTTAACTTTGTCAGCAATGTCGGATTTACTATTGAGACAGGAGTAAATGATAATGTCATCTGTCAGGAAGATCATTGATGAAGGTCAGAAACAGTGTAGGACCAAGGATTGAGCCTGGAGGAACACCAGTGTTCATATGGAAGGAACTGGGAGAGAACCCGTTCAGGACAAAGCTTCATTTCACAGTTAGACAGGAATGATTGGATTAAATCAAATAATCGTCCTGTAATACCGTATCCATGAAGCTTACGTAGAAGGCCAGCATGCCAAACCCTGTCAAACACCTTCGATATATCTAGAGCCATAGCTCGAACTTCGCCGTTATTATCAAGAGCTTGGTATACATATTCAGTTATGGCCGTAAGCACATCAGCGGTAGACCGGTCAAAGCGGAAACCATATTGTTTGTCAGGGAGCAGATTGCGGGAGGTGAGATGCTTAACTACTTCGGCACTGATTAAAGCTTCGGACACTTTGCCGAAGAAGGGGACTGATGGGACGGTAGTTAGATTGGTTAAAAGGGGTCTCCAGAGTTCTTAAAGACCGGGACGACAGGGAACTTCCAACAAACTGGAAAGCAAGAATCGTTGAGGTTATAGTTGTAGAATTTGGAGAGAACTGGAGTCAGCTCAGGAGCTCATTTCTTTAGGTCAACGGCTGGTATCTCGTCACCACCACATGCTTTATGAGTGTCTAATTTAGAGATGATCTCTAATACCGTAGACGGGTTTATGCACATCTCACTGAGTATCGCCTCAGTTCTAGGGGGAAAATCTGGTGTGGTACCCCAGATGAATCGTGTGTTGAGTTGGATGAGAATTTCCGAACAAAGAATTCAGCCTTATAAGCTGAGGGTGTTAGGACTTCGAATTGATTCAACAGAGGATGGATTGAGGATTTGTTGCAGGACAGGACATTCTTGCAGAACCGCCAATAATCTTTAGAACTAAACTTACGAGTTGCAGTATGTTGTTTCATCCTATCAGCAATCAATAACATTGTTTCATTGAGGACACTCTTGTCCTCATTACGAGCAGAGACAAAGAGACGTCTGTTACCATCAGCGGGAAAGCAACGAGTTACAGACTAAAAAAAAGTGATTCCTGTGGGCTATAGCGGCAGGACAGCAGGTGAGAACCAAGGTGATGAGCTTGATTTAACGTTTCTTGCTGGAATGAAAGTCTCGACGTCGGCTTTTACCCAAGAGGAAACCTCAGAAGCACATTTTTGTAGGGTATGATTAAGAACTACATTCCAAGGGTCGTCGCGAAGGAAATCACGGAATTTCGTAAAACATGTCGCTTAAAAACACAACTACTGTTTATTTAAAAAAAAAATGTGTTATTTTAAACAAAGTAAATAATATATTTTTTTCAAATCAGATTAAGCATACTTTAAATCGGCTAATATTCCTCAAATAAAATTTCAATTGTTTTATTTTTTGTATATTTTATTTTTGGAAGACTTTTAACACAGAGAATTACATTGCGATGAAAGACGACTAAAAAGGATCCTAATCAATTATTTTAGAAAAAATCGATTCCAATCAATATAATTTCTGTTTGAAATACACCAGATTATTTTACTTACTGGAAATAGTAAATCTAACCTTTTAGATTTTAATTAAAGCTAAAATGAAAGCACCATAAATGCTTTTTTTTTCATTTTTAAAAATTCATTTCAAAGGTATCACGAATTAGTGGAGGTACCTAGGTTAAATATATTCACGATCAAGTGGTATTTTACTGAGATTTCGTAAGTGTAAGGCTATTTACATTTAAGAAACTATTTCAGCTATTTTTTACGGAGAAAACCTTTTAATACACAAATTCAGACATCGTTGTATAAGTACTGAAACGAGCATTAAATTTCAATACTTAGTTGAATTTATGTAGGCGTTTAAAATGCGTGTATATCATGTGTCAAAGTCTATTACAGATTTCAGCTTTAGATTTGTAACAATTGCAAGAAAATATCTTTGTTCTTATATAAGGAATGAAAATAATTTTTATACTGCGATATTCTCCAGATCTTAATCTAATGGTATGAATTTATAACAATCAACTTTTACATGGAAACTCACCATAAAAACAAAAAAATACTGCAATATTTAAGTAATTGCATTCCTTATATTTTAAGCATGAGTAATCTAGGATTTTTGTCTGTAACGGTGTAATCACATGTAAAAAAAAAATTATTCTGCTTTTTAAACAATTAACGGTAAAACTCTCTGATGCTACTGTCAAAAGATTAGCAGCAATATGTGAAGTTGTTGCTTTTTTTATCACGACGTCCAGATTCTTACATTCTACGACTGTTTTTAAGAAAACAGGACGAGTTGAAACTAAAGTGGACATAATATGAACTATCTTCTCACGCCTTGGTAGTATCGTCTGACAAGGCCGTTACATTTACCGATTTGATCATGGAAACCAACCGGATAAGCCTGGTTAAATCTACCGTCATGCATTGGAAACTTCCACATTTGTTTAACCATGTCATATTGTTTTTCTTCCGTTTCATTTCGCGCGCCATAGAATGACAATATTTATGTAAATTTGGAATTGCATTTCTGCATGAGTAACCTAGGAATTTTATCAATACAATTCACTTTCTAGTTAAATGTATGGAAGAGAATTCTGCTTT